TATGCACGTACAGATTCCAATACTAACAATTACAAGGCTAGTACACGTTTATGAGACGAATGCACAAATTCACAGAAAATAATAATGATAATTATATAAAATAATAATAATATTAATATACTAATAATAATAATTATTAATAAACCATAAGAATAATTATAATAATCATAATAATATAATAATAATAATTTAATAATAACTAATAATAATTATAATAACAATAAGAAGAATTATAATAATATAAATAATAATAATAAGAATAATATAAGTAAAAATAATAATATAACAATTAATAATAATAATTACAATAATAATAATAATAATACTAATAATAATAATCATAATATAATAATAACAATTATAATAATAATTACTAATAGTACTAATCATAATAATACAAAGTAATAATAATAATAATAAGATAATAATAAAAAATAATAATAATAATAAAATGTTAAGAAATAATAATAATAAATAATAATAATAGTTATATAATAATAATAATAATAATCTATAATCATAATATAATAATAATAATAATAATAATAAGAATTATAATAATAATAATCATATAATAATATAATTGTAATAATAATGATAATAGTTATAATAATAATAATTATAATTATAAAATAATATAGTTATAATAATAATAATAATAATATAATAATAATAATTATAATAATAATCATAATAATAATTATTAATATAATAAATAATAATTAATAATAAAACTCATAGAAGTGCAAAGAATGTGGCATACAAAGGCAGTTGTTAGTCCCGTAGTGATTGGTGCAACTGGATATGTCACTCGCAACATCCTAGATAACCTAAAAGGATACCAGGAGATCATAATTCTATCAGTTACAGAAGATCGCCTTATTAGGCACATCGCACATAATTAGGAAGTTATAAACATAACCAGCTCATAAACTACAAAGATCTGTACCCCTCAGGTCCTCGGCGAGGACCCGGTGTAGAGGTCAAACCGTTCCATATAACATACCCCTACTAATAGAAAACGGTCCTGTAGCGTGAAAAAAAAAGATGAAATAATAATAATTATAATAATAATATTAATTATAATAATTATAATAATCATAATAATAATAATTATTATAATAATAATAACAGTAATTATAATTATAATAATCATAATAATAATAATTATTATAATAATAATAACAGTAATTATAATTATAATAATCATAATAATAATAATTATAACAATCATAATGATAATAATAATAATAATTACAATAATAATAATAATAATAATTGCTATAATAATAATAATAATATTAATAAACATAATAATAATAATAATAATTATTATTATTATTATTATTATTATTATTATTAAACAACAAATTTGAGTTGAGTACAAGTACTATAAACTCAAACACAAAAATAGATAATAGTGTACAGACAAAAGAAATATAACAATTGGACAATCTTAGCACTTCTGAAGTAGACAAATACAGAATGGGAACAATATGTTAAGCACTGCGGTGTCTATCGTAATTGTTTTTGAAACTGTTGACGGATTCCGAGTTCACTACATAAGATGGAGGACTGTTCCATGCATCGAAGACACGGTTTGAGATGAAGCGCTGACGAGTAGAGGTTCTAAAAGCTTCCTTCTGCAATTTGATGAAGTTATGGCCACACCAAACAAATTATGCAGTAGGGTAATTCGAGGATAGATGGCGCAGAAGGTGAGATGGCGCAATGGTTTTACAGCGCCACCGCTAATGTTAGAGGGGAGCAGCTGCGCTCTGATGTACTTTAATCTATATCAGGCAAGCCGCCGCACCGTTTGTGTTCATCGGCTAAATATCTACTTAAATATTAATTTATACGTGATCCGGATAGTACAAAAATATTTTTCCGAATTGCTTCTTCGTGCTAGTGAACTTCAAATTTAATAATAATTTTAGTCACAATATTGTGCCAGGTAAGTAAAAACGTTCAAGTTTTGTTATATAACCTCAAAATTGCGCATATTTCAACACGTGTTTAGATTTTGAGGTGCGCCATCTCTCCTCCCACAACGAGGATACATGGATCACTTATTTTTGAGGTGAGATGGCTTATTAATAATTCCTTTTCTTTTCAGCATGCCTACCAAATACGAGCGAACTGGAAGTTGTTCCAGGGCTAGTTGGACCGGACAACAGTTAGCCGAAGCCATTCAAGCCGTTAATGAAAATAGAATGGGAGTTAATGAGGCTGGTCGAAATTTTGGGGTACCGGCAACGACTCTACGAAGAAGAAAATTGAGAGAAAATGTGAAGAAAGGCCCTCTTGGACCCTCCTCCACGTTAGGCGAAGCTGCTGAAGAAAAGTTGACCAAACATATCCTAAAACTTAAAAAAAAAACGGATTTTCTCCTACTCGAACCGATGTGCGAAGTATGGCTTTCAAATTGGCCGAACAGCTGGGCATTAAACATAATTTTAATAAGGAATCAAGATTAGCTGGTTTTCCATGGCTGCAGTTGTTTCTGCAGAGAAACCCAAGGCTGTCAGTAAAAAGCAGAAGGGGTCTCCATTAATCGATCCCTGGGTATGAACAAAAAAGACATTGAGGCTTACTTTCAGCTGCTAGAAAATACTCTTATCGAGAACGATCTTATGAATAAACCTGGACATATCTACAATATGGATGAGACGGGCTTACAACTCAATAATAGGCCGGGACATGTTATTGTTAAGAAAGGATCTAAGAACATCGCAAGTATCAGTTCCGGTGAAAAGGGGGAAACCATCACGGTTATAGCCTGTTGTAACGCGGAAGGCGTTTTTCTTCCCCCAACCTGCGTAATGATAGGAAAAAATAAAAAACAAGAGTTTGAGGATGGGATGTCTCCTGGATCCTTGGTCTACATGTCTGAAAGATCGGCCTATGTCAACAGTGACATATTTTTTCGATGGCTCAAAGATCAGTTCGTTCCCAGAAAGCCGACAGGGGCAGTTTTGTTACTGCTTGATGGTCATGCTTCACACTGCAATAACGTTGAGATGCTAGAATACTGTGTTGAACACAACATCATACTGCTTAGCTTAACAAGTCATACGACGCAATTTTTACAGCCGCTAGATAGATGATTTTTCAGATCGCTAAAATTAAACTACTACTCAGCTTGCAATTTATACATTAAAAATAATCCAGGACGAAAGCTCACTAGATTACAATTTGGAAAGTTACTTGCTGGAGGATGGAACAAGTCTGCAACTGTAAATAATGGAACTTCGGCATTCAAGGCTACGGGAATTATGCCATTCAATCCTTCTGCTATCCCAGATGACGCCTATTTGACTGAAATTAACAGCGTACTTGAGGCTCCTCATGCAGGCAAAAATAAACAAATTCCAGATGATAGTTCTCAAAGTTTTAACAAAGCCTTATCGCATGATGATCAACAACCTTGCTGCAGTTGGCAGACTGAAGATGATTCTGTACCAGAAAAACTAATGCAAATACTCCCGTGAAAAGTACTCCCGGAAAAATGCTAGATATAATCTCACCCGTTCCAGTTGTTTCCGCTGACGTTAATTCGGTTCGAAAACGAAGCAAGCAGCTGGCAGAAATTTTAACTACAGAGACAAAAATTGATGAAAAAAGAACGAAGCGTCTAGAAAAAACAGAGAAAGAGAGAAAAGTAAAGACCAGAAAATTAAAACCGGTTTTGAAGAAGCCAAAAGTGACTAAAAAGAGAACAAGGAAAGCGATTCATCCTCAGATGAAGGACTAGAGGCACCGACATTGGATGACTCTTCAGATGATATGGACGACGATGACCAGACTTGCACCGGTTGTGGCGAAATATATTCCCAAACCACAAAATCTGACGACTGGGTTAATTGCATACGTTGCTCCAAATGGTTTCACGATACCTGCTATATGCAAAACAAAGTGACATTTTGGTAGAAACAGCTTTTTTTTTTGTTGCGCCATCTCACCTCAGCACAGTAGGGGAGATGGTTTTTGTCAACTATTTTTATTTTTCTTGTGAATTATAAGTTTTATTTTTAATGCATTTTATTACTTAATACATGCTTCTAAACTCAATAAAGACTCGTTAAAAAAATTAACAGTAATTCTAATTCAACATATAGAAATTTTAACATGAAATTTCAAAACCTGGGCCATCTATCCTCGAATTACCCTACTCTGAAAGTGATTATGAGATCTCCTCGTACTCTTCTATCAGCAAAAGCAGGCAGGTTATATAGCTCGAGGCGGTCTTCATAACTTGGCCTACGTGTGCCATATGGCATACGTGTAGCACGACGCTGAACGGAATCTAATAAGCTGCTATCGCGAACAAGGTTTGAATCCCATACCGGACCAGCAAACTCCAGTAGGGGTCGTACGAAAGTTGTGTACAAAAAGGAGGAGCTACTAACGGTGCAACCGCTAAATGACCTTTCCATCATATATAGCAACCGCTTTGCCTTAGAGGTTATGTTCTGAATGTGCTCCGACCAGGTGAGCCGGCCATTAACTGTCAGACCAAGATCTGTGTGATGAAGAACAGTCTCTAAAGTATGTTTGCCAATCTTATATGTTAAGTTAGGATTATTCTTTCCCAGGTGGAGAACGTAGCATTTCGATAGATTTAAAGGCAGGAGCAAGAGTTCTGACCACTTTCTGATCAGCTTGAGGTCTTCTTGAAGCACAGATGAGTTCATGACAGTGTTATAGACTTTAGTATCATCTGCATAGATGGAACACATAGAATAAAGTCGGGTGGGAAGGTCGCTTGTATAAAGAAGAAAAAGTATTGGCCCTAGCACAGATCCTTGTGGAACTCCACTAGTAACACGATGACTAGAAGAATAGGCGTCTCCAACACGGACGGAGAAAGATCTGTCTAACAAAAAAGCTTCAATCCATAACAACAAATTTCCCCTGATTCCGAGATGTTCAAGCTTATGCAGGAGCCTTTTATGCGGAACTCGATCGAAAGCTCTGGAAAAATCCAGAAAAACCACGTCGACCGGTTCATTTGCGTCTAAAGATCTGGTCCAATTGTCAATGCAGTGTAACATGTTGGTGATAATTGATCTACCAGGAATAAAACCATGTTGGTTGCTAGGCAGCAGGTTGTTCTTGAACGCAAATGTCATAAGTTGTTCCTGGACGATCTTTTCGGCTATTTTCGCAGCTATAGGCACAAGACTGATAGGACGGTAGTTTTTCGCAGATGTTTTATCTCCTTTTTTTTATATAGGTGTCACAGATGCAGTACGCCAACAGGAAGGAAGGATGTGATTTTGAATCGAGGAGTTGAATATAATGCACAGGGGGTATGCGAGAGCTGAGGCACAGGACTTCATAACGGCAGAAGTAATCCCATCCTTTCCAGGGGATGAACAAGTTTTCAGTTTAGTAAGGTGCCTCTCAATGTCCTGAGGTTGAAAATCTATGCTACAGATGGTCGCTAGGCATCTATGAGAGCTGGATAAGTTCGGAAGAGTACCATCACCATCAGGTTCATTCACAAAGTCTTCACTGAAAGCATCGGCAAGAAGATTGGCAGATTTTTCGGCATCAGTATGTAGGTGGCCATTGGGATCACGGATTTGTGGGGAAGAAACCTTAGAGTTCAGGGTGGATCTCAAGTATCTAAACAACTTCTTCTTATCTTTCGATAATACAAGATTTTGCTCATAATTGCGCTTGGCGTTTTTCAAGTTCTTCGAAAGGATGTTAGAGAAAGATCGATGAGATACATAATCCTGTTGTAGTCTACTTCTTTGGAATCTTTGCCATAACGCTTTTTTATGCCTCAACATCCTTGAGAGGTTATGGTTAATCCAAGGCTTTCTTGGGTGACTGAATATCTTCTTTGTGGTCGTATGCCTAGTGACTTCCAGTTGGATTCGACGAGAGAATATATCCCACATATCTTCAGTGCTACGTTGTGCAAGTAGGTTGGACCAGTTTATTTCAGACAATGCTCGATTGAGAGCACTGTAGTTTAATAGCTTCACAGTTTTGAAATGTCTACGTGATGGAGTTTGTACATAGAATTGAAGTGAGGTCAATAAGGTACAGTGATCCGACTTGCCAAAAGGAGGTAGGTAGTCTAGACTGGAAACAAAGTCAGGATCATTTACAAATATCAGGTCGAGAGTTCTGGGAGTATGGCCTTCTCTGAATCTCGTCGGATGATATACGAGTTGGAGGATGTTCGACTTACGCATTAAATCAATATAAGGGGCAGAAGGAGAGTTGCATTCTGGTAATGTTGTCATGGGCCAGCTGATGTCACGTAAGTTGAAATCACCAGTTAACAGAATGTTTGAATTCTTGGTTAGAAGTTCTTCGATGAATTTACACAAATAAACATCACCAGCACAGGGACGCGGTCTGTAGATACAGGCTAATACAAAACTGAAGTTTGGCCGTGTTAGTTCCAAAAAGAGACTGTCGATACCATCGAAGCTCTTGGAAGTAGTAGTTATTGTGAAATTGTCAGCAAATTCGGTACGCACATAAACACAGACCCCACAATACCCCGGCGTGCGAGGGGAATCTACCCTATACAAACAGTAACCAGGCAAATTAACAACATAGTCAGGTACATTAGGGCTGAGCCAGGTTTCTGTCAGACAAAGAAACGAAGGTTTGGTTCCATCAACAAATGCTTGCACTTCGAGAAGTTTAGATACCAGTGACTGAATGTTTGTGTAGCACACCGACACCTCGGTTAGCAGTTTTTTGATACAGAAGATTGCTGTGCAACAATATTGACAATGGATGGTCTACCCTTGACATATTTAATCGTGATATTGCGTTCTCCAGCCGTTAGCCTTCGTTTCAACTCCTCACGTAGTTGCTGCAGCTCATGCATTTGTGACGGTGTTTTGTCGTCCAAAATTTTAACGGAGTTATAGGTAGAGTGGCTTAAAATATCATTCTTCTTGCGTAGAATATTCTTAGCTATTATAGGCGATGCAAAGCCAACCCTTATCAACCGAGGACGAGATGTACCTACAGCACCAAGTCTGGTCATATTGAGGCGGTATCCATTAGCAGACGGTTCGATGTGGTTGATTATGTCTGTTACGGAATCAGAATCATTGTTGCCTTCAGGAAGACCTTTCAGGATAATATTGTGAGATCGTCTGAGTATTTCCCAAGTTTCAGTCGGAGATGATGGGATATTGTTAGCGTTGGTATTCAACGATCTATCATTCACCAGTGCATTGGTCAGTCTAGATTCAACGTTCGAAATGTTGGATAAGATAGATGCTTGCGCACTTTGGAGTTGCTGAATACTAGCCTCACAATTAGAGATCAGTTCGTCATGGCGAACAATAGAAGCCGAATGCTGTTGTAGCAATGACATACAATGGGAGACATCGTTGCTTAGTTGTGCTTATGAGTTTTTGCTGTCTCTAATGTCATTGGCCATGGTCGACAATTGACACAAAATGAGTGCTAGAGGATCAGAAGCCGTCGCTTCGTCACACCGATGAGGGGAGACCGGTGGTCGAGCACTAGTTGATGAGGACGACGAGTTGCTACGAGTAACTCTACCACGTCTACAGCATGCTGAACAAACCCATTTGTTGTCACCGTTTTCGGCGAAATAGCCGATCTCTTTAGTGGTCAGGTTAACACAATTAGCGTGGTGACTTTTCAGGCACTTGGAGCATAGGATATGCACTAGAGAAGTGCCAATTAATTTGGAACATGTAGCGCAATCTTGGTTCATTGTTAATTATCAACAAGTTATAGGAAGGGAGAGGGTACAGGAAGACGCACTTCACTCTATTGGGTCGATAATAGAGACTCACACACAAAGAGGTAGACCACGGATAGGATAAGGAATAGAAATAATGAAAGGAATCGTCTCAGAGCCTCCGTGAGTAGACCACAGAACCACGAAATAAATCAGTCAGCTACTTTGCTTTACTACTTCTTTATCAGGTGATACACAAAAAGGAGGATTCTAGTTCAAGGTCAACAAAATTATTGCACCAGAAATGGTCGCTCGGCAGAAGAAAATTGAATTGTTTTGTAGTATAAGAGCACAACATACAAAGCCAATGAAACTACTCACAAACTGTTCCTAACGTGTGGGAGACTCACAACAAAGAATCAAAATAATTATAAGCCGGTTATACACTATGAAACCGTAATCAAATCGAAAGAGATGCAAAACACACTGTACACTACGAGCGTTCACAACTTCTAATAATAATAATTATAACAATCATAATAATAATAATAATTATAATAATAATACAGAATAACTATAATAATAATAATAATAGTTAGAATAATAATAATAATAATCATAATAATAATAATAATCTAATAATAATAATAATCATAATAATAATAATAATTAAAATACTAATGATAATCGTTATAACTAATACTACTAATTATAATAATATTAATAAGCATCATAATAATTAAATAATTATTACAATAATTAATAATAATATAATAATACTAATTATAAAACCTAATCATTAAGTAATAATATAATATAAATAATCCATAATATAATAATATAATCATAATAATAATAATAATAATTATTATTATAATAATAAGCAGTATTATAATAACAATCATAATAATATATAATAATATAATAATTGCTATAATAATAATAATAATAATCTAATAAATAATAATATAAATAATATATAAATAATAATAATAATAATAATAATAATTATAAAATAAATAATTAATAATAATAAATAATAATATAATATATATAAAATTAAATAATAATAATAATATATTGTAATAATAATAATTAAATATATAATAATAATAAATAATATATATAATATATAATAATAAAATATATAATAAGAATAATAATAATAAATTATAATTTAATAATAATAAATATAATTAATAATAATTATAACAATATATAATAATAATAATAATACTATATAATAAAATTATAATATTATAATAATAATAATATAATAATAATAATAATAATAATATAAATAATATATAATAATAATAAATATTTAATATAATAATAATAGTCCCGCAGGGGGTATCTACTTTTGAAGCCGGATCTTTGATCCCGTTTCAAGAGAAGATACATGGGGAGCGTCGCCCCCACGGCCCCAGGCAGGGAGTTCGGGGTTTGGTAGTCTTACTAATTCTGCCAAACCCTGGACTTTTCCTTCCCCTTTTCTCCCATTCTTTCTCCTTTATTATATCCTGTACAGCTGTCCGCTTTCCCTCGACTTTCCTCTCCTATCCTTACCCCATGCGTTGAGGCGGCGTGTGGAGCTTCCTCTTAGCCCCCGGGTGTTTGTGCCGTGCCCGGCGACCCGTAAGCTGGCCAATGGAATCCTGGTGGTTGAGCCCTACCAGTCAGGGGGGCAACACGCCACTTTGGTCCGGCGGTCAGTCTAGAAGGGCGGCCACGCCTAGCCCAGCGTTGGTCAATCGGCTGCGCCATCCCGTCAGAGGGCTGGCTGGGCGAGCCTCCACAGGTAGTAGAAGCCAGACGAGGATGGTTTGCTATCCTCGATGTATGGTGGAGCTATCTGTGGGGACTATACTTCCTTTGTTTCGACATTCACGGTATCCCTGGGGTTGTGTTCTAGCGGAAGGCGATAATGAGCACAATCTCCCGTTGAGGCTCCATGGAGGGTGGGGAGCCGAGGAAGTGAAGATCAGCATTTCGCATGGCAAACAAAACAAAAACCAAGGGTGTGCCTGCCCCCCTAAATGTAGGCAACGATGGCGAAGGTGGAGCTACATGTAGAGCTTCCACTGGACCGAACAATAATGTCAAGGAGACGGATGGGCCCGTCCCCCGGTTCCTTGTCATCAAGAGAGTTGATAATGATAATTTTGCAACAGTTAGTCCATTCCTTATTTCTAAGACCATAAATGGTATAATAGGAGATCCTAACTCTGTTAAAAAGATTAAAGCTGGCATATTGGTGGAAACAAAAACAGATGCCCAGTCTCACAGACTCATAAGAATACAGCATTTTACAGATATTCCTGTCACAGTAGAAGCCCACCCAACGCTAAATTCTAGCAAAGGGGTCGTGTACTGCAAAGACCTCTTAAATTGCCCTGAAAGTGAAATTCTCGAGGAACTGAAATCAGAAGGAGTAATACATGTACAGAGAATTAGAGTCAAGAGGGACAATGAACTGCGTGATACACCAAATCACATAATCACATTCAACTCCCCCAGATTACCATCGAAACTTAAATGCGCTATGTATAAACTTGATGTTCGGCAGTATATTCCCCCACCAGTACGCTGCTTTAGATGCCAACGGTACGGCCATACGTCATTGTCTTGCCAAAATGAACAGGTATGCATATGTGGAAAGGAGTTACACATGGGAAGACCATGTGAACGCCCGGTAAAGTGCCTAAATTGTCACGGGCCTCACGTGGCTTCATCGAAGGAATGCCCAAGATACAAAACAGAATTGGCTATTCAGAAACTGATCGCTACTGACAAAATAAGTTATATTGAGGCCAAGAAAAAGGTGGTGGTGCATACTCCACAACCAAACGTGTCGTATGCACAAGCCACGCAAAAGAGCCAGGATGATGATATCGAAAAGATCATCCCACGTCTGACTAATATCATCCAATCTTCGATTTCTCAAGCACTGAAAGGCAAAGACTTCCATGAAATTGAGCAACCTCAATTCGTTACACCTCAGCCAAAAGTATCACATAGCTTGTCTCTTAGAAACCACAGCCAATCAGATGCCTCTAATCAATCAAAAAGAAAGGCATCCTCACCTGTTGATGGGTCAGATCTCTCTGATGCAAGTCTAACGTCATCTCAGACCGACGACCCAGAATCCAGAAAAGGCAAGCGCGGCTGGCCGAAGGGTAGACCCCGAAAGAGGGCTGCTCCAGCTCAAACCAAGCCAGATCAAATCAACGCAAGAACTAATACTGCGTCTTGTGGACAACCTAATGCTTCAAACCCACAATCTGGAGATAACCAGATTGGAAGCGAACCTAACTGTGATGAACCTGTGATAATAGATAGTTAAAATTTTAATATTTAATTCTATGTTAATTTATTCACCTTAATTTGATATTTGTTTACTTGTCCATGTATTTATATATTTATTTAATATTTACTTTTACATTATTTTCTAACTTTTGGGATAATTTCTCCATATTTTAATTGTAGGAGTTAAACTTTTTAGTACAATATGCAAAACATAATGCAATGGAATTGCAATGGTTGTGTGTCTCATGTGAATGAACTTCGTGTGATGGTTAGGGAGAACGATCCTTTCTGTATTGCATTACAGGAAACCCACTTCCGTCCAGAGACATCTTTCTCTCTTAGAAACTACAATACTTACCGCAAGGATGTCATACCAGACCGCAGAGCACGAGGTGGTGTGGCCTTACTCGTAAAGCAGAATATCATAGCGCAGGAACAGAGACTGGATACGGAACTTCAAGCTGTCGCAGTTCGCATCACAACGCCATTTGCTGCTACATTGTGTAGCTTATACTTACCTGATGGCGATTGGCATATTGATCAGTTGTACAGGCTTCTATCAGAGCTTCCAAGACCAATTATTTTGATGGGCGATTTTAATGCGCACTCACCTTTTTGGGGATCTATGCGCAGAGATATCCGGGGACGAACTATAGAGGAATACATTGATTCATCGAACTTAGTTCTATTGAACTCAGGATCTCCTACACACTTCGATATCAGAACAGCTGGATCCTCTGCTATAGATCTCTCACTATGCTCACCACAACTGGCTACTAGATTATCCTGGAAGGTCTTAGATGATCTCAATTTTAGTGATCACTTTCCAATCATCATAACAACGGATGTCCCCAAACTTTTCTATCCGTCACATAAAAGATGGTTGACTGCGAAAGCTGATTGGAACACATTTTCTGAGCACCTTCGTATCCCTCCTCTAACTGAAGACATTAATATAGCAGTGGACGATATCACACACGCTATAACAGATGCAGCAAAGATTAGCATTCCCATGACATCCGGGACCTCATCTAATAAAGCTGTGCCGTGGTGGAATGAAAACATTCAGAATGCAGTCAACGAGAAGAAAACCGCTCTGAATAGATTCAAGCGCAACCCAACCATGGCCAACATGATCTCTTTCAAAAAACTACGTGCTAAAGCACGAAGGCTCATAAATGAGAGCCAAAAGAAATCATGGGAAACTTATGTCTCGTCCATAACTTCTGAAACACCTATCAAACAGATGTGGCAAAAGATCAATGTTATTGCAGGCAGGAATCCGTTTAGACCCCCAAGCGCTTTGAAGGTAGCTAATTCGGTAATCGAGGATGTTTCTTGCATATGCGACACGTTTGCAGACCAGTTTGAACACGCTAGCAGCAATGCAAATTATGATCCCAACTTTCAGCAGCTCAAACTAAATTCCGAAGCACAGGGAATCAATTTTGACACATCGGAACTACATCTATACAATGCACCATTCTCATATGAAGAACTCGAGTCTGCCTTAGAGAACTGTAAAGACTCTGCACCGGGTATAGATATGATACCTTACTGCATGATTCGAAACCTTCCAAGGTCTGTCAAAACTCAGTTACTACAGATATTCAATAATGCGTGGGTG